TTATATCACTTGAACATTTTTAAATGAAACTGCTTTTATTAGTTAAATAGGGCCAGTGTAAATTTGTTCATTTTATATGCTGAGGTCTAGTGAGATTCAGTGAGTTAACTATTCAGTGTTACTGGAACATTAACAAAATTAGATAGAATTCAGAGCTCTTGATGTCTAGTTTAAAGAGTTACTAAAATTTTGCAAGAGAGGTGATTTTGAAAGTTACAATTTTTTAGATCACCAGTCTTTACTAAGTGTCCTTTTTGTACAAGACATTTGTCATTAGTTTTGGTTGGTAAAAAAAATTAAATACAATTTGTTTTTGTGTTAGTCTGCTTCCATTGCTGTAACAAAATGCACAAGGCTGTGTACTTTAAAAAGGGGGGGGGGAGTTTATTTAGCTCCTGTTTTTAGAATCTAAAAGCCCAAGTGTAGGTTTCCCTATCTGCGTGGCCTCTGATGAGGGTACCCTTGTCAGCATTACACTGTGGTAGCAGATGTCATGCCTACAGCTTATGCAAAAGGGGGGATTTAATTATCAGAGAAGAAACTAGAAACTCAGGGCCTTCCTCTCTGGCTGATAACAACTACTCAAGGCCCTAGAGAGGCTCCACAAGAAAGAACAACCTTTAACCCTCTGAGGACAGTTCCCTCGATGCCTTTCACAGAACCTTTAACCCTCTGAGGACAGTTCCCTCGATGCCTTTCACAGAACCTTTAACCCTCTGAGGACAGTTCCCTCGATGCCTTTCACAGAACCTTTAACCCTCTGAGGACAGTCCCCTCGATGCCTTTCACAGAACCTTTAACCCTCTGAGGACAGTTCCCTCGATGCCTTTCACAGAACTCTACCCGTCCCTTAAATAATTTTATTTTACTGAGAACTTCACCTATGAGCAATACATTTATATCACTCTCACCCTTTCTCCCTCTACTTCCACCTGTGTCCTCCCCATTCATGATCTCTTCTTTAATTATTACACACATGCGCGCGCACACACACACACACAACACACACGCACGCACGCACGCACGCACGCACACCTGCTTGCATCATAAACCTGTGTCCAGGGCTGACCACATGGGATTGGACAGCCTATGCAGAAGCTCATCCCTGGAGGCAGATGTTTCTTTCTCAGTGAGAGCTGACCATCGGTCCTTCTTCATCTACGAGTAGGAGAATGTGGAATGGCCATGTTGGGATGTCAATTGGTATCGTCTTTATGCTCTGTCAAGCCATGTCATTGAGAGTTCATAGGTAGTGCTTTCCTGTCATATATAGAAGACACTGTCTCACAGCAGACATTCTTAGTCTTCTGGCTCTTAGAATCTTTCTGCTCCTCTGTATGATTTTTCCCTGAACCTCGGGTGTGGGGTTTGTTGTACTGCACGGTAACTTATCTCTGCACATTGACCAGTTGTGGATCTCTGTAATAGTCTCATTCATTGTAAAAAAGAATCTTCTTTGGTGAAGAGTAAGAGCTACACATATTTATGGGGATAAGGATAAGTATTTAGAATATAACTATATTAAATAAATTCTATTATTTTAGGAAGTAGATTATTATATAAATAAACTATATTATCTTAGGGAGATGGCAGCAGTAGATTCTCTTCTTGGGTCTATGACCTCTCTAGCCATGGGTAATTGGCTAGGTTTATAGTATCACGTATGGTTTCCCTCCTATTGAGTGAGCTTTAATTAGACAGGCATTGGGTATCCAGGAGATGAAGGTGCTACTGTTGTACTGTTATGTCTCCTGCCAACCCACTTCATTGCTGTGGTTCATAGGCGACACAGCTGAGTAGAACTGTTGATTGCTTCTCTCCCCTGGCAGTTCGCACAGCACCTTTGAGTACTGTGAGAGCTAGTCCTCAGGGAGAAGGCTTCCAGGTCAGTTCTAGATTGATTCCTCCAAGTTCTGTGTCTGAGTGTGTGGAGTCTTCAGTAAGAGGTCTGGTTCTGGGAGGCAGTCAAGGACAATACCAATATCCTATTGGTTGGGGTGTCAAACAAAAGTTCACAAGTCTGGCACCAGGATTTTTTGTAAGATAGACTGTGCCTCTTAGGGGAAACATATCCCTAGTGACAAAACTTCATCTAAATTACTTATATATGTATACATATTGTCCTAGTTAGGGTGACTGTTGCTGTGATAAGACACCATGGCCAAAATCAAATTGGGAGGAAAGGGTATATTTGGCCTACACTTCCACAGCACTGTTTATCATTGGAGGAAGTCAGGATAGGAACCTGGGGCTAAAACCAGGAGACGGGAGCTGATTCAAAGGCCACGGAGGAATGCTGCTTATTGGCTTGTTCTTGGTGACCATCCCATGGTACTGGCATCTCCAAAATGCACATGTACTTATATATTGTATGTATTTTTAATTAAACATAAAATCGTGTTTCCCTAATGGCTTTTTCAATCATCCTTAGTGTTCTTTATTCCCATTCCCTCCCTCTTGCTTAACAATTACCTCCATCCACTGCCTCCCGATAAAGCCCCCTCCCATTTTTCCCAGTTCTCTTTCATATCTTCAGATATGAGTATGTAACCGCAGAAAGCAGGACAGTAGGACATGGGACCCTACCTTTTAAAGGTCCTGTTAGTCCTTGGAGGACAGACATACAGACCATACAACACACAAACCTGTGTTAGTCCTTGGAGGACAGACATACAGACCACACAACACATGAACCTGTGTTAGTCCTTGGAGGACAGACATACAGACCGTAAAACACACGAACCTGGGTTAGTCCTTGGAGGACAGACACACAGACCACACAACACATGAACCTATGTGTGCAATGAGATGCAGATGACAGGCAAGAGTAGTTACGTAAGAACGCATGTGTGTCCTGTGACTGCAGTTGGGACCATTCTTTAGAGCTAATGCAATAAAGAGCTCCTACCTAGTTGTTTGTTGTGAGGGAGAAGGTTAGGAGGAAATAACCCACGAAGTTCCTTGTTCCTGTATGAAAAGAATAGTCTGAGAGCAACCTAGATGAAGGAGAGGCAGTGAACCACTTAATAAGATGGTCGGGACAGGGAGGTTGAAGGGGGGCTGGGCTTAGAAGTACAGTTAGGAGCCAATACTAGATCATACAGTTATAGGAGACCTTGGAAACTATCTAATACTTACACCAGTTTTACAGTCAAGGAAATGGAAACCCAGGATCTTTCTGAGTTTCTTGTCCAAGATTAGTCACAGCCTAATGGGTCCAGAGCTAGGATTAATTCCTTCCACATGACCAAATATGAAAATATATTAATAAAGAATCGAGACAGTGGCAGATACTTTGTATGTGTAGAGAATAATTTTGCAGAAATGTGATTCATCATCTGTTAAGAAGAACTATTGACTAGCTTTTGATTTGTTAAGCAGAGAAATTAAGAAAAAAAGCTGGAGCCATCCATGAAACTATTTTAAGAGAAGGCTGATCTGTCTAATGACACAAGGAAATGACCTTCTTGGCAACTTCTGAAGCATTTTATTACTAATAGTAAGCATAGTAGTGATGATGTTATTAACAGCAAGTATCACTTACTGGATGCGAGGCATCACATCAGACATTTATGTCTAGTTGTGTGTAGAGCTGCAGCTGTGGGAAGCAGGGATCACTGTGCCATTTTGTGCCTGAAGAAACTGAAGGCCACCTAGATTAAGTGACTCTGTGTTCACACAGCCCATCAGCTGGAGGATCAGACTTTGAATACTTAGTATTTGAATCTCAAACTTCAGCAATGGCTAAGACCTCTCTTTCTAAAGTTCCCTCTAGATAAAACAAACAAAACGTTTAACAAAGAAGTACAACCAAAACTTTAAAAAATGAAATCCTAAGTATTGACATTAATGTGAAAGATACAGATTTTGATGAGAAGAAATGTTGATTGCATGAAGTATGTAAGGCTTCCTGTTGGAGAAGTGCGATGAGATCCTGCTTGTTCTAGCTTGGTATGCCTGTCTTCCCGTGTGTGCTGTGGTCACTTGGTCCTCCTGCCACATTTCCCTTACCTAGCATCTCCCGGGAGACCTGCAGGCAGTACTCTGTGGCACCATTTGAGCTTCAGATGTTTATTTCTGATCCCACCTCCACTTTCATTTTCTCTGACAGACTGTCCTTCTAGGCTCAAAAATTTCATGTTTCTATGTAGTTATAAGCTGATGGTCTTGTGTGATCTGTAATATCTTCAGTATTGGGCTATCTAGAAGAAACCACAGAATTCAAAAAGGTTGCAGAATCTGCTAATCATACCTGGCCTTTGTTGTTTCTACCTAATGAAAACCAGTTCTGCATTTACCCCTGAACACTATCCCAGGACCATCTGCCTGTGCAGGGTAACAGTGGGGATCCCAGGCACCTCTATTGCCATCACTCAATACTGAACCCATTTAAACCTGGCCAGTCTGCATCCCCGTTTCTACCATAGTCCTTGGCGTTACACACCGCCACCCCTCAACATTTGCCACAGCGTGAGTGTTTCAGAATATCGACTTTGAAAACTCATCTTAGGAATTACGTCTTTCTGGACATCTTTGTATTGCTTCTTCGTGTCTTCCATTTCTCCACCCTACACATCGTGCTTGTCACCCTCTCTTCCTGGTAGTGCCCCTTCTAGTCCCTCTGTTAGAACTTCATAGCCTCTTGGGCATCTTGTGTTACCGTGCTCAGTACTTTGTGTGGCAGCCCTCATTCTCTCTGGTGTACCAGTGAGACTCTTGCTTCTGGGCAACAAGGCTGGCCCGGTACACATCTCGCTAACACGTGTTTGAGTGGGAAGGGGTTGCAGTGCTCTGGCTGCTGCTCAGTCTGCTGACTTCAGAAGTGATGAGTCAAGGACAAGAAGGGAAACGCAGGCGCCTTTTCATTCACTTGTGTCAAACTTGTGTGAATTGGCTACGTAATGCTGCAAACTCTGTGAGCATGTGGATAAAATCGCATTGGAAGCAATCTTTCCCTCAAGCATTAAAAGATAGCCTTGCTTTGTTTCCCTTTCGATCAGGTGCTGTGATCGTCTCCACGCCTCAAGACATTGCGCTGATGGACGCCCACAAAGGTGCTGAGATGTTTCGGAAGGTCCACGTGCCCGTAAGCATTTGCACCCTCACTGATAAAACCATCTGAGTTTTAGTTTAACCTTCTGCAGAACACTTCATGAGATTCCTGGTTGATCTCTCCTGTTACTGTAAGGTTGCACAAGTGTCCAAACACCATGCTGATCAAGGAGAATTCTGAAGCAGGGTTCCGGGATTGCAAGCTTTCTAAAAAGCTATGCTTCCAAATGCTGCCAGAGTCATGTGAGCGTCTTAGGAAATGCTTTCCTAATAGACTAGAGTAGACACCTGTGGGAAAGGAGGTGAAAAGGTAACTCCTTTTCCTTTGGCTGCCTACATTTTAACTCTTGATAGCCCGTGTTCTTCTAGAGAGTATTTCCGGCTAATCTGTACATGACAAGATGATGCAAGAATGTAATAAAAATAGACAAAGAATAATTAAGATCAGATGGAACCCAAAGTAAAGTCAGCAAACAAATTGCATGCCGTTAAGGAACTTAAATATGCTATGAATTTTCTAGCACCAAAGGAAAGAAAATCATGCTACCAATTAAGACACTGTCCATTTGCACATGGTTAAAGCAAGCTGCTTGCCCGAGAGAGGCACTGCTGAGACCAGACACAGACTTTCACTAGATTCTCGTGAGGAAGAAACTGCGTATTAAACACTCTCCCTCTTCCTCACTACAAGGAAAAGTTTTTTCCTCTTAGGGTGTCTCGACAAAAGCCCTGGAAGAGAACCAGAGGACAGTTACAACATGAGCTTCATGATGCTTCTGTCCACGTGGCTCTCCAAGCAGATCTTTAGGGCTAATGGAACGGGGCCTTTACATCTCTGGTCTGACAAAGTGCTTGCTGTGCAAGGCTGCTGACCCGACTTCAGTCCCCAGAACCCACGTCAAGGTGAAAGAGAGAACAAACTCACAGATTTGTCCTCTGACCTCCACATGTGCATCATGAAGTGCAGGCCTGTGCTCACGTGTACATGCACCATAATACTAAATGTATAAAACCTTAGGCCATGTGCTGTCTTCAGGGTTCTCATAATTCTCTATCCTGCCTTCTCTCCACCACAAACTGCGTGGTAATTTTGTTTGCTTGGTATGGGAAGAACTCAGAACTTTCTTCAATGAGCCCATGACCCAGGAAAAAGTTCAGCGTTCTTAAGTGTTTATGTCTGAGGGGAGCCTTGAGAGATGTAGGACAGACACACAGAGGAGTCAGGGTGACCCTCCCCTCGGTATGTGTGCTCCCGTGCCAGCTGGGGTGGAGCTGGCACACTGAGTAGACAAACAGGCGCTGGTGGGAGTGCAGGGGCCTAGTGAGGACCATGCCTGGCGTGCCTGTCTGCTTTCCTTCCAGGTGACCCAGGCCTAGTGAGGACCATGCCTGGCGTGCCTGTCTGCTTTCTTTCCAGGTGACCCAGGCCGTGCTCACTGGCAAACCTAAACGTGTGATTAGAGCCAGTATCCCAGGCTCTGAAACTCAGCTTGAAGAAAATTTAAAGCAATGATAACCACATGGCTGCTGCAGACAGAAAACTTTCTCTATTGCATGTTTTGAGCAGGGTGACTTTGTACTATCCTCCAGGATAAAGTAATAGGTGCGGAGCCACTGAGTAATATGAGATTCAAATGTAAGGTGGCAAAGAGACAAGCTCCCTTCTACCAAAATTGATGGCACTGAGTTAATAAGTGACCTATAATCCCTCCTGGCAATAATTAGATATCAGAGCCGTTGGTCTGGAACTACCACTTCAAGGGCCAGGTCAAGCCCTCTGCCTGCCTGCATGGGAATTGTGAACTTTGAGTGTGCTGGGGTGAAGGGAGAGACATAGGCCTACCACACTCAACACCAGCAAATCCTTGAAAGGATTGATTTTCAAAGAGCAGGAATGAGGTTTTCTCTCTTATTTCCCCTCAGAAATGACCAAATTTATATTAATAGATCATTTAAACTATTGATGTCATTTGAGATCGTAGTGGCTATGGGTCAGGCCCTTTGTGGACTCTGTTTATTCAGAGTCTAATGCCCATAGTTGCCACATTCACCATGTATAATTTTAGTTCAGGTGTTATTTTCCTGACACCTTTGACATTTCTTGACCTGTAATAATGAAGAAAACATCTTATATGTTGTGATAGATTCATACCTCCCACCCCCCACCCAGTCTCTAAGACAAAGAATGGACCAGATAATTCCTGCAGAATGTAATGGAGGAAGAGAGGCTGCTCACTGTGCTCAGGCTGGGATATTGCTGGCCAGATGCCGTGTAAGTGTAAAAGTTGAGGAGGGTAACAAGGGAATATCACCAGGAAGTGAGGGTTACTGGACTACATGGGCTTTGTAGGACTGCATCCAGGGTTAATGAAAAGAGGAAGCACCTGTTTGGGGTCACACCCATGATGTTAAGTTTTAGAGTTAGGGCAATTCTGGGTCATGGCAGGGCCAGGATGTGGTCATGGGTGTGTTGGAACTAATCGGGATAGAAATGGAAGTCTCAGGAGCTGTGTATTCTGCTTCCGAGATGGAGTTAATCATTCCTCCCTCTGGCATTTTGGACATCTGCCTGCTGTATCTGCCATAGCCCTTTTTTTATGTCCTGATTTTAATCATTTGTCCTCTATGCTGCAAAAACAATTTTTAAAAAGGTAGAATCTCTTAATCATCTCTTACACCAGAGAACAGCCTGCGTGTGAGGTGAGGCTCACAGTGAGTGAGAACTCTCCAGGGCTGAGCCCTGTGTGCAGCCTGACAAGTGTCGTGCTGCTCCCTGGAAAAGTGGGTCTTGGTTATCAGTGAGAAGCCACTGTGATGACTTCTGAGAGCCTTTTGGCTCTTAAAAGCCCCAGAGTCTAAGAAATGGCAAAGCGTTTGGAATTAAAACGTGTTCCATAAATGCAAGGGTGATGCTATGCTGTTTATTCCACTTTGTTCCCTTTTCCCTGGATCTCAGTCTTGTTCTGTTTCTCCCCTTTTGAAGTACATTAGTTGCCATGGGAACAGTGATGTCATTGGAATTCATTGGTATGGACAGAGTTTAGTGATGTCTGCAAGAACGTTTTGAAGTTAATTTAAATGATTTCTTAACTCAATGCGTAGCTTGGGAAAGGGGAAAAGAGATGAAGGATTAAATTCTGCCCTCTGCCTGAAATGATAAAAAACTGACAAATCCTTGATTATAGCAGGATTTGTAGGTAGACTGTTTTTCAAAAACATAAGAATGTTTAGCCTTATCCGTTTTTAATAATGAGTAATGTATGTATGATACCACTGTTACCCACTTTTGTTATCACCTTTTCCAAGAGCACCTCACATTCCTTGCTACTTACTGTTTTACCACCTAGTGTTTTGGTCTCAGGGATTTTCTTTGGGAACTGACTCAGTTCCTGAAAAGTACCCCAACGTACGTTTACTCTCTAATTTCTTAGTTTCATAAGGGTTCTCTAAACAGTTGTTAGCTGATGTATTCCATGAGTACATATTTGCTGGTATTTAGTGTCCTTTATAACGAAGCATTGTGTTCCAGTTTGCTTTCTATTGTTACCATAGACACCATGACCAAGAGCAATTTGGGAGGAGATGGTTTATTTCATCTTAAGGAGCACTGTCCATCCCTGAGGGAAGCCAAGGCAGGAACTGGAGGCAGAGACCATGGAGGGATGATGCATGCTCGCTGGCTTGCTTTTCCTGGCTTGCTCAACCACCTTTCTTACACAGCCCAGGCCCCCCTGCCCAAGTCCACAGGGGGCCGGATGCTCCTGTGTCAACTGGTAATTACACCACTGAGCTTTCCTCTTCCCAGGTGACCCTAGCTTATGTCAAGTTGACAGTGCTAACCATCATGGACTGTGAGCTTCGATGGTGACTCGGAATTTAAAGCAGTGCTGTTCTCTGAGGTCTTTTGGCCTGTTGATTAACTCTGTGGCATTGAAGGGGCCCTAAGTTCTGAGAATAAGAAAACTTCTCCTCGGGACCCTTGGGGCTAGTGTTGGAAAAGCCTTATTTTATTTGCTTCTTTTCATAGTTCTGTAATTTTGGACATTGTTATCTGTTACCCGATGAAGTCATTTCCAGCCTAGGTAGCCCATGTTCACTTCAGATTTCAGTTCAGGAGTTACTTGTCCTAGGAAGATTGTTTTTCTCCCCAATATGCCACATGAAGTTTACGATCCTTCCTGCCAGCTCCTTACACGCATGTCCAGGCCACCTCTCACCTCGTTGCAGGGCTATCCGTCTGTCTTCCCAGAAGAGTCCAAGTTCCTGGGCAGCAAGGGAACCTGCCTTAACCATCCTACCCAGTTCAGTCACCTGTCGTTGTGACCCGGTAGATGCCATCCACTGCCCACTGTCCATCCTGTCTGTGCAGTGGTTGTTCTGCCCTTTCCATGTCACGGCCACCTTGGCCTTCCACTCCTGCAGCATTCCTGCATCCCGGGTGTCAGAATCTTCAGCATGAGTACATTTTACCCTCACGTTAGGTACCCAGACTGAACAATGGACTTTTGTCTTGGTACTTGAGTAGCGCTGTTACTAACAAGAGTTCATTCTATCTATGGCTTCATGTGCTCTTTCCCCTTTCACATTTCAACTCCACACCAAAAGTTCTGTCAATGGAGAGACCACCTACCATGCTCTGTGTCAAAAGCATGCAGCTATCCACTAAATATATACTAGACGAGTGATCTGGGTAGGATCTTTCTTACTGAGTCCAGGGATGTATATAAGCCTGAAAACTCAGGCAAGTACAGTAGTGTTAAGGATTGTTCAGTTTGTCTGTAACTGAGATCTGGACTTTTCTTATGAGGGGAGCCTATTAAAATCTATCCAAGAAGTAGATGCAATTAGGATGGAGTTTTAAAATGTTTTAATCTGCTGGGATTAATAGAAAGGACAGGCTCCAAGAAAGCATGGAGCAGTAAGGAAACAGCGGGATGGCCAGAAGCATCACGGTATAATGTGATATACCAGAGGCATCACGGTATAATGTGATATACCATTGATCATGAATCAATACAGTAAAATATATAACCA